TACATTTTGAAGATCTAATTGCCTAAGGTCATCTGTGCTACAGATGCTCTTGATAACGTTCAGGCCTGTTCCAGGGTTCTCAGTCCTCCCTTTCACATATTCAACTTTTGGTATCCCCTGAAGAGATGAAGTGACTTTGGACTGACCATCTCTGAATCTGGAATCATCAACGTTAACATTCTTACCCTGACAACCCGCAGGCTGCACGGAAACTTGCTTTTCTTTTGGCTTTCCCCATGCCTGCTGCAGGTCTGTTAGCTCCCCACAGCCACACTTCATTTCGCCACTCGCCATTGAGCTGCCGGTGCCATTTAGGAGAGGTGGAAGTAAATCTTCAGAAATGACCAAAGATGGTTTATTTTCTAGCTCTGACTTCAGAGTCCTTGAGGCTGCTGAAATGCTCTTGCCAGGATCTGCGTTTGTAGGTGAATTACGGGACAATGGTGTTTTCCTTGACAGGAGTTTGGGGGACTGCTGTGGAGAAACAGAAGTCCTTTTCTGCTCAGCCCCGCTGACTTTGGTAGGATTAATGCCAGAAGAATCTGAATTTGCCTTTGCTTTGCTTTTGATGGCGAACCCTTTTAGCTTTGTTCCTCCTTTGGCCTTCTGGTTATTTAAAAGGGTGTCCATTATACTTTTATGTGCCATTCCCTTAGACTCCTGACAGGATTTTTTCTGCGAGGATGGGCTGTGTGGTACTGCAGCTCCTTTGCAGTGATTTGTGCCTGAGCTTTGGACTTTTCCGTTTGAAGTCCTTCCTGAAGTCAAAGAGTTTATTTTCTCATTTTTCCCTGGCAAGTCATAAGTTGTGTTAGCCTTTGGATCTTTAGATCTAGTGGTAAAGGGAGACCTGAGTGATATTGCTCTTGATGATGATGCATTCACATGACTGCTGTCTGTTTTAGACAAGTTGGACAAACTGTTAGTCTCTTTCTTCACTAAGCAATAACTAACAGCATGATTACAGTCATCAACCACCGTTTCGCTTTCAGATTTGGTTCTCTGCTCATCACGATAAACTTCTTTCTCAAGCAAGCTGTTCTCCAAGCCATTGACATTTCTAGTAGAGCAAAAGCTTATTTTTTTGCATTGCAGAGAGCCTTCCTCTTCAATGGATTCGCAGAATTTCATATGTCCGTTACTGTTCCCCAAACCCATCTGTTCTTCTGTACTTAAGGCACCATTATTACAGAAAGAGTAAACTTCAGGGACACTGACAGAATTCTTTAGGATGTCTTTTTCTGGCAGGAAAACTGGGGAAGGAGAACACAAGGATGCAGAGGACACATCTGAACACTGTGAAGGACAGGAAGCAGGACCATTATGATCTTCCAAGCCTAGTTTGTTGATGCTTGTCTCCAGTGACCCACACATTGTGCATCCCTCAGTTTGCAAAACTTTGCCACCGTAACGGTGCAGCAGGGACAGAGAGGATGAGCTTGTTGCAGATGTGAGATGCTGCTCCTGCGTGGGCTTTTGCGGCTCATCGTTCATGCAACAAATCTCAATTTGCTCCTCATCCGACTCCATTACAGTACACGCTGCAGGGGCGTTAGCAGCAGCGCATGGCCCAAGAAATACCTCATTGGCACTATCAAAGGTTTCTGTGACAGACTCTGCATCCGAGTGAGAATCCTCTGCAGCTCCATACATAGACTTTGGAAATGGGTCACTTCTCTTACTTTCCAGAGAGTTTGCTGCAGGCAACTCATCCTCATTTAAACTGCTAAAATTCCTAGAATAGTTATTTAAAGAGTTTTTATTCACAGTAAAAAGTTTGCCTGTGTTAATGGAGTCCAACACAGACAGCCCCAAAACCCCTTGTGCATTAGCTCCACAATTCACAGTTTTTTCCAGCAGCTCCTCCTTGGCTGGCTGTGACTCGGAACCAGGACAGCCTTCATCAGTCCCACAGCAGCACATCGTGGTGTACTCTTCTCGGAGGGGGCTTTCGGCTCGAGACGGGGTGCGCGAAGCCCTGCTCTCCGGAGCACCCATTTGGCTGAGCAAGTCATCGATATCAGTGACGGGGATGGCAGTGCAGTCTTCGGAGCGGCTGCCTTTCGTGGTACCTCTTTGCGCGTCTTTGCTTGTGGCATCAGGTGGCAGTGTTGTTCTCTCCACCGCACAGCCGCCACCGGCATTTTGCAAAGCTGCTCCGTCTCGCTTCCCGGCACTCTGTTCTTCCTCAGTTGCAAGGATGCTGTTGACATCGGCCTGATTTTGACTGTCTACCCCTGGAGACAGGATGAGGTTTGTAAATCTGCTGACAGCTGCATCATGATAAAAATAAATAAATTAAAAAAGAAGCAAAATCCTGTCAGATATAGGAACTTATATATGAAACACCAGGTTGTATTACAAAAATAGACACCCACATAGTCAGACTACGTGTTTTCCTCTTGCTCTGCACTCCTCCTCTTCTGTAATGATGTTTACAACAACTCAAATTAATCATAACCCTGTGTATTTGAGTAGCACACAGGAGGGAGCAATCCACTTATCCAAGGTGAGTAGTCATGATCTGTTTAATTCTCATCTTTGAAATTTCAGCAGTCAAGCAGCCAACTACCTAAGTGTCAGTGTGCAGTAAGTCAGGCTGATTAGTACCACTTCTCATTACTTGTTTGATCGAAGATGTCTCCAATAGATTGCAGAGAGTACACAAAGCCCTGGCATAGCAAACAAAGGTGAACAGATAGCACAGTGACGAGCTGTGCATAAATAACTTGACTGTGATCCTCTCGGCACTTCTGCAGGTGTTTAATGTGACACCCGTGGCTGATGTTATACACGCATTAAGCATATGGGCTTTACGGGATTTCTGGCACAGACCCTTCCTTGGTTCCAACACATGTTTAACCCACTCCTGGGCAACACACTGAGCTCCCCGTCACTGCTGCACTCCAACACATTCCAGCTCACCCATTTCTCCAGCTCTTCAATTTTCAGCACTTCAACCTAGGCATCTACGCTGGTTATGGGATACACATTCCAACTCAAGCTGCCTTCCAGAGGCCAGTCACTACCAGAGGAGGCCCAGAAAGTGCATGGAGAAGGAGGGGTGTGTTCACAGAGCCAGCATCCTTTCCTGCTCGTTCAAATGTGCCAGCACATCTTGCTAATCCTTGCACAAACCTGTGGGATTATCCACATCACTTAATTTAGGTACCTATGTTAAGAAGTGCAGGTTCCTCCTGGAGTCAACAAAGGGGAAGACATCTCAGGAGAGTCAGCTGAAGCAGCCAGGTTAGGATTCGAAGTGCTGCCCTGCTTCAGCATGCTGGATCACACACTGAAAAGATCCTCTTCTCTGCCCTCTGGCAGAGGGAGAGGAAGGGGAAAGCAGAAGGGTTGCTTGATAAAGAAGTGTCAATGTGCCCCTACCACAGTGCTATTAGTTTGCAAAGGCCACAGCAATCTAAAGAATCAAGAACAGGACTCTCTGCCAAGCCAGGAATTGCTTAAAGAACAACTGGAACTGAAGCATCTGGAAGCACTTTAGGCTCCCAGGTATTAATAGGTACATGAAGAAGATCATAACCTAAAACAAAGCAAAATATTATGTTCTTCCTGAATTTGAAAAGTATGCTTTTCTTTTTCAAACACTCATTTCCACACCACGTAATTTGTACAGTCTGTGGGGAAGCATATATTGCTGTAGCAGCATAAATCAGCCCTGAGCAGAAGTTAAGGAGGTATCAAATATTTCAATTCAGACTAGAAAACCTTTTATAAGAAACATGCAAATAAACACTTTGATAAAATTCTAGTATTCTTGGGTTTTGTTTCATCTTCCTGCACATTAGAGAATTCTGACACACGAAAGGGGAAAAAAAAAGACAGAAAAGAGACTTTTATTATCTTACTGTCCATTCACAAAAACATTACTTAAACTTCAGATTTGAGGGAGACAGATATTATTATAGAAGGTCAACATATTTACTGAACAGGCACAGCAGTAAAATGAGTTGTCAGGACAGGGTCGTTGCCAAGTTAGTTCCAGGTCTGCATGAAATGACACAGAGCCCTGCAAATGTTGGCAGGAGGGACATACTGTAAGTGGGAGTTCTGAACTCTTCACACAGGAGCGGGTTTGCTGTCCTCACCAAGGTGATAGGGAGGACCTTGAAGCCCAGTTTGGTGATGAAGTGCTTTGCATGGCTCAGCACTGCAGACACAATGTGCCCCCTGCTTTTGCTCTGGATCAATGTCGGAAGCTGGGGCAGCAGAAGATCAGACCCAGCCAACCCAAGGGAATTTTCTTCACTGGCACTCAGAATGAATGGTATGAAAGAAAAACTATTCTCTCACCTGATGCTGCTTTCTGGATCTCCAGGGTTATGGATGTGGGAAGACACTGCATAAGCATGCAGATTTCCTCGTACGTCATCTTATTGACTGGGATGCTGTTGATGGTGGTAATCTCATCTCCTACAGCCATCTTGCCCATTGATCCCTAATGCAATGACAGATCCAAGGAAATTATAAATACACCTCAGAAGCCCTGCCACAGGTGCAAGATTGCAGGGAAGCAATTAACGGCTTATGAGCAACATTTGCTATTTCACATCACTGCAAAGCACAGGTACCACTGCTGTCAGTTTGCCAACATGTAAATAAAGAGCAGACTGTGCTTTTGCCAGGAGAGCAATTAATGATCAATCTCAAACAGGAAGGTCAAAAGAGTTGCTGGATTCTCTGAGAGACCAGTATCAGGATGGAGGACACAGCATTCTTCACTTAAATGAACTGTGATGGATCAGTCCTGGTTTCTTCAGGACTGGAACATTGTCTGTAATTTTTGCATTTCATGTACGAATTATATTGCTGCTCACAATCTCCCATTGTGGCAACTGGACATTCCTAGACAACTAAACTGGAGAGGGACTGAACTGTTAAGGTAAAAGCCTTAGTAAGTTTCTAAAGACTGCACAGTAAGTGAGAAAAAAAGGCAGGAACAGAACCTAAATCCCCAGCTCTCACAGCCCAACTCAAACTGCTACAACATACCCCCTCTTACCCTAGTGGCCACTAATTAGATTAAAAATGCTACATCCAGCTTTGTACACCAGAGTATCCTCCTTCCTATTTCCGCACTTTTGTACCAAGGTCAGCAATTCCACATCCAGCATGAAGCAAGTATGTGCACGTATGAGATGCAGAAGAGCAGTATGTTACTGGCACTTCCATGGCGCTTGGCAAACTTGGCCAGCACCTAAGGCCTCCAGGTATCAGATTTGTATAACATGGGCATATGGGCATATAAAATATTAACATTTTTACCACCAGGATTTACTTATTTTGTCTTTGTGTCTGCTAAAAAGAAAGGAAACAAAAGAACAGTATTCCCTCAAAACTGACTGCGAGTGGGGATGAGTCCATCTCAGTAGATCTGCCTCTTGACTTTCTTGGTTTTGAATCAGCCAAGGGCATGCTTCTGAATCAGAAACATTTCATTTAACAGCAGCTTCAGAACAACACGGGGTGAGACGTTTTGCCCAGCAGAGACAAACATCTCCCTTGCACTTACTCCCAACAGATCACCTGCTTAATAATAATCATCCCTGCAAAGCGAAAGCAAATCACAACAAGGCAACCCAAATAAAAAAATTACCATTTCTGCTGCTCCACCTGGCCGCAGCCCTGTGACAACAACCTTTAAGGGCATCGCTTGGATTTCCAAATCCAGGCCAAAAGACTCGTGCTCATTGCGAACCAGAGTCACTATTTCACCCTGTCCCTGCCCAGCCCCGTCGGGTGCTTCACACTTCTTGCTGTGAGGGAGCGTTCTCGCAACTGGCTTGTTGTAAGAGCCATGCTCCTCCATCCGGTGTCTCTGAAGGCTTCGGCACTCGGTGCTCATCATGCTTTTCACTCTGGTGACTGCTCTGTGCTCAAGTTTTGGCGATCTCTTAGACTCAAGCTGTGCTTCCCGGAGCTCCTTCAAACTCAGGCTACCAAGACGAACTTCAGGCACACTTGAGTAATCGAACGCTATGATGGGGAAGAAAGGAGAATCAATTTGCTCCAGTGTATTGTCTGCAGACTCCATGGAGCTGCTGAAGACAGGGGAAGATGTCTCCGTGCCACTGTATCGAGGTGACTCGCTGTCCTGGCTTTCATCATCAATTTCTACAGATGAGGTTGTAATGACAATGCCAGCGTCCTCCTGGCTCTTGGCCCTCTGGCTTCTTTGCAATTTGGAACTTTCGTCATCATCACTAACATCACCATCATAGAAAACAACCCTCCTTTGTCGATGAAAGGGGCTGCGGGCAGATTTGGGGCTGTCGCTGAGGATGCCAGGTCGGACGGACTCCATGTGCTTGTTGTGAAGGCCAGATGATCTCCCACTAGTTGGAGAAGCCAAACCATTTGCTTTTGCCACTCCTGCTTCTCTAGTAGCTAGAAAAAAAAGAAGAAAAAACTTATCATTTAATTGCATTTATAGATGATTTTTAATACCATGCATCTCACTGCAGCACAGTACATGTGGCTCTGTTTGCAGGGGAAGCTTAACCTGCTCACAAAGCAAAAAGCACGTTTTCCATGTCCCCCCTGTAACTACAGAAAACAGCAAGAGGGATGGCAGATAGCTCTACAATTTATGGATAATTCCCCAAATCAGTTCATGGCACATCTGGTTCTATTTTCAGTTTATTTCTAAATTATGACTATGACCCAAAGAAGAAAGGGATGTAAATTCACACGTGTATTTTGCTTTAAACAACAGAATTTCTTTCACATTTTGCTTAAATCCATGCTCAGGACTGCCTGCATCAGCTTACAGAGAGTGAAAAATGCGTTACTGAATGAAGACACAATAACACAACAATGAGTTTCAAATTAAAACCAAGAACCGTTTCCACATCCTTCTTAGAAAGAACTGCATCTTGTTTCGTAGGAGGTTTTTTGTTTTGCTTTGTTTTGTGGGTATTTTAAAATGTAAAAATGCTTTTAAGCATTAAATAATGAATTTCTAGAGAAATATAAGACAAAGACATTACTTAAGAAGCACACAAAAGAAAAAAAAAAGGTAATATCCTAATATCCTTTGAATTTGAGATCAGGTGCAAGTCAGTAAGGAAATGTAAGATTCTTTCAGTCAATCACTATGGGGAGAAAGACACATGTGCAAAATATCTGATGTCAAATTGAACATTTGATTGTTTTTACACTGTTATATGTGACATTTCAGAATTACGTATTTGAGATAGCTATGAACACTTTCATTTAAATGTAATCAATCAGATGATCATCAGTCATTTGAAAAAAAAAAATAAGACCTGCAGCGCTGTCAATCTAGTTTCAGCCAAACCAACCAAATAAAGTCATTGTCACATAATCAGAGCAGCAATTTGGACAAAATACCATGGAAACGGGCATTTATGTGCATTGTTGTAAATCCCTTTCATTTTCCAGAATTTCATATGATCAGCACTGGCTTGCACTATGCTGCCTGGCATTTCTTACCGGCACAGGAATCACCATAGCTCTCCTGTAAAGCAAACCAGTAGTCAGTGCCTCTCCCCGTCATTAGCCAAATGACCAGACACATTTCCGGCACTTACTTGGGTTGCCAGGAAGAAGAGAGCCATCATCCAACAAACTGTTTCTGTTCTTTTGACGAAGCTGTTCTTCATCGCAGGAGCCAGTTACAGCATCCGAAAATGGGAGCTGACTTGTACCATCGTGCGAGAAGTACTGGGAAAGCTCTGCCTCGGAGCTGACAGATCCCTGCTGAAAAGAAGTGAGCCTGGTGACTCGCCATCATCGATGCTTAAAGCCCCTGTCTGCACGCAAGCACCACAAACTCTACTCACAGAGTTGTATCAATAAAGGAAGTTTAATGCCAATTTTTAAAATAGAGGACTTGTTGGTATATTGAGAGCCAAACTGTCAATCTCAGATGGCTGAAAACCTGCACATCGGTACATTTTTATCCAGTATAATAAATAAAGAACGATTCAAAATCCCACTCCTTTGCAGATGTGGTTCAATGCAGAAACAAGGGATGAAACCGCTCACCTGTGCAATTCCCTTTATATACCTTCTGCACTGAGAGAAGGGAAGGGTTTGTACCCCTGGACACAGTTTGTATGTCTTCTCTGGCTTTCCCAGGAAAACCAGAGACTTTTCCACTGCAGTGGCTACAGAGAGAGACCAAAGGCTCAGCCTTCTGCCCACCGGCTCAGGTCTCTCCTGCTAACTTCGTCCCTGTGTCCTACAAAGCAGGGGTGCCTTTGAGGCAGCAGGAGGTGGGAGCCCACAGCTTTCTCTGCCGTGCTCTGCACGTCACTCCCAAAGGCTACAGCCACAGCTTGTTGCTGTCATGATTTAAATGTGTGACATAAGAAACCACCCCTCTTATGGAGCCCATGTGACAGGGAAGGAACATAGAGGTTTGGTTTTGAACTCCTTGATCAAGTAAGAGCTTCAGTAAAAGCTGAATTTGAAGCAGACGCTATTTTTACTGTATTTAATCCTTTTACCCGGCTTGCCGGCTCCAGGAAGCGTTTCATAGTCCAGCTCAGGGGAGATGAGGTCTCTCCTTGTTTGGCCTTCACATTAGGAGATGGGCTTTTTTGTACAGCTCCTGTTAAACACAGCTTAGTTAGATGCCAAAAATTAAAGTTGTGGTCCATGTATCCAAACAAGCTGCTCATTCACCTTCTGAGCTCATTTATTGTCTGAATTGCTTTCCTAAAGTGAGATTTATTTAACATTTCACAAGCTCTCCCTTAGATCGGGTGAAACATGATCACAGAGACACATTACGCCAGCCAGGTGCAGCACAGAGCTATGAACAAGAGATGAGCAGGATACTGTCTTCCTCACCCGCTGGAGCATGCTTCTGAACTAGGTGCAACCTCGAAAGACAAATTAGCAGCCACTGGCAAGGTCTACTTCAAAAAGGGTCTTAGATGACACAGATAAAAAGAGAGTAATTACAAATCTAACATATTTGTCTAAAATTCACCTTACTGGTCACTCTTCCATTGCCAAGAGTTTGCTTTCATCTGTAAGATTTTAGGAAGTGCTAAGTCTGGAGTTCAAAAACATCGGACAAATGCCAGAACACACATTTTTACATGACCCCAAAGATTAAAACAGAGTTAAAACATACAGTCCAGTATGCAATATCTGGACTTTTTCAAATGGACTTTCTCTCTTTTTTTTTTTTTTTTTTTGGCCACCTACATGGATAAGTGCACACAAAGG